TGCTCCCTCCTCCTGCCAAACAGAGCAGAGATGCCATGTGAACTCCAGGGGAAAATCCCTATTAGAATTCACAATGTTTACTGCCAACTTTAAAGTGACAAGTGTGACAGAAAGAGCCCAAGGACAGATCCACAAAACCCCATCTTTCCTTGTGGCCTTGGTCTAATCACTTCACTTCTCTGGACTCAGGTTCTTCAACTATAAATGCAAATCATAGGAGTTGTAAGGAGCTAGCAAGAATTTTGTCAGTTCTCATGTTGGGAAAGTGTTATGTTGTGATTTCTGTCACCGCTCCAGGGGTTGAGGGATCACTCAACAAGCTCCTGTTTGGTCCAGACTCAGCCCGCTGGTGACAGACCCAGCAGCTCTCTGGGTCCTGTTCTAGCATTGCATCATCTGGGGAGGAGCGGGGAGGCTGAACTAGCAGAATTCAAAAACAGCTTTGACTTGGAGTTGTGAGTAGGGTTTTGGAGAGACAAGTTGGTACATGACTTTGATCTTTAGCAAGCAAAGAAAGTTTAACTAACACAAAATATAGAAGGGCAGTTTGCGCTTTGGGGAATAGCTGAGTTGGGTTGGGCATCATCCCATGCACCAAAGGGTTGCAGGTTTGAGTCCCAGTCAGGGCACATGCCTGGGTTGCCAGTTCTATTTCAGTCAGGGCACATACGGGAGGCAACCGATCAATCTCTCAATCTCTCTCTCTCTCTCTCTCTCTCTCTCTCTCTCTCTCTCTCTCTTGCTTAATCCCTTCGCCTTTTTCGCCCAGCTCCCCAACCCTCCTCCCCTCTGACAGCTCTCAGTCTATTCTCTGTATCTATGAGTTTGTTTCTGTTTTGTTTGTTTATTTTGTTCATTCCACATATAAATGAAATCATATGGCACTTGTCTTTCTCTGACTGCTTTTTCACATAGCATAATGTTCTCCAGGTCTATCCATGCTGTCGCAAAGGGTAAGACTTTCTTTTCTTTCTTTCTTTTTTTTTTATGGTTTTAACAAACAGGGATTCCCTTTGTAAATGTTTAAAGGTGTCTTCAATTTCTTTTCTGTGATTTTTAGGAAGATCTTTATGTTCCACCGCGACTTACTGGATCTTTAGTCTACTTTTCTTGGATCTTACAAATTAATTAGAAATTACAATCTATTTTCTAATATTTCAAATAGTTTGTCTGCCCTCTCCTCCCTTTTTTAAAGAATTCTTCAGACTAAATAATTCTTGGTTCTTCCTCCTTGTTTTCATATGATTTCCAGACCCTTTGTCACCCTTATTTCTACCCTCTATGTCCCTTTGGTAGATTGGCTCTCATATTCTGTTCTTATATCAATTTCTTTGTACCTTA